AACATGACGCTGCTTTTTTCGAAGTTTCTCAAGAACCATTCGAGCCACAGAATTCGTTTTGGCATCGTTGGATAGAGAATTGAATGGGGGGGGGGTCATGACCCTCATGACCCCCCCCTGGATCCGCCCTTGGTAGAACAGCATTTTGTGTGTGAATATACTAACCTTCGATGCTCCTTATTTCTGTCACTTCATCTAGACGTGCATCATTTGCTGCTTCAAAAGATTTTCTAGGGCTTTCAATGGCTGCTTCTGGCGTTTGCTTACGTTCTGGAGAGTCGTGTAGGCCCAGGCTTTCTTTTAGTCCTAAAAAATGTGAAAAACAGTCTGGACGTCAGCAGCAAATTAGTGAGGTCTTACCATTTGCAACTTTCTCTGGAAGTTTTTTAGCCAATCCATTTGCTGCTACTGCAGCTGAAAGCATGCCCCAGTCGAAACTGTTTGGTTCTTTCGCTCCCCTTGGACAATCAGGCACCACGTGAAGAACTTTGGAATCGATTTCAGATGCCCGCGTTTTGTAATAAGCCGCTGTTTTTTGCCGCTAATAAAAAGAACGTTAACCAATTATTGCGGATTGATTTAAAATACATACGTTATCAAGGACAGATTCATCAGCGCCATGCTTAATCAAGTAGTTGAACATTCTGTGATCGTCCTTGAGTAATGCTGCATAATGAAGTGGCGTCTTTCCATCGTTGTCCACGGCATTGATGCCATAGGGAATTTGCTCGATTATGTAGTGGGCGATTTCCTCTTTTCCCAGCCCAACAGCCTAAAATAGGCTGTTTGGATTTTTGCTAGAAACGCGAAATGATCGGTCCTACCTTGTGAAGGGGTGTGAGGCCATTGGTGTCTTTTGCAGACAAAACAGCCAGAGGAACTGGGGGTGAGATTCGATTTTTGAGACTATCCAAGTCCCCATTTTGTACATCACAGTGCACGTCTTTAATTATGCCCTAAGTTACATAGAAAAATTTCATTTAGCTACCTACTATTCTGGAAAGTTGGAAAGAAATAAATCTTTAGTTATTTTATTCTGGGCTCAGAAACCTGATCCACTGAGCTCGAGAAATACGCGTGTGAAATGTTGATTTTTAGCTAATGTGTAGGTAGTTTCAAATGGAAATGCGATTATTTGCAAAGTGGCTTTGCATTATTTGAAACTGATCGACTTTTGAATAGATTTGTTGCAATCGCCCTCAATCGATGCCATCCCTGAATTATACTCAAATAGTAGGATTTATACGGTTTTTGTACTTCTGCCAGTTCCCGCACTGAAATATGTATGAAAATTCTTGACATTTTTACCATCGCTGGGATCGACGTTGCGTTTTTCCAAGTATTTCAAGAATGAGAGCGTTCAACAAAAGGAAAATATTCTCGGAATTCATCGAACATGTCTAATGGAATTAAGGTAAACTGTAGCTGACTGGATGTGCGCTGTAAATGCTCCAATTCGTCATAGCGCCGAAAGAAATATTTAACTATTCATATCTTGTCTGTGTGGAAAATCGATCCGCGCTGTTCAAAGACAGTTCCGATGTTCATTAGATAGTTCGTTTAATTATGTGGCCTGTTTTTCTACGCAGAAAATTGGGCCACAGAATTAAAGAAAAGTTCGTTAGAAAAAAAATGGTGTGCGTCACGGGACGCTCCACAGAAGTGATAACTTCATAAATGAATAGAATATTGAACTTGTTTAGTTAATGATGTCAATAATAATTTTATTTTATAATTTTAATATTCTTGTTAGTCTAATAATTTATAAATGGATCAGGAATAGGTAAAAATCAATTTAATTTCCTTTTCAATGTAAAATATCTTTCTTATTTGCAACATTTAACATTCTTTAACGAGATGTTGCATTACATATTGCTCTCCTTGGGTTTGTGTAAACTCTTCTTTTTGAGTTTCTGTATTTTTTTGTCATAATACACTTGACACACTATATGTATACATAAAGTAAGCCATCGCGCGTATGTTCAAAAAAAAAGATTCTCAACTAATCCAAGGCTAAAAAAATTAAACTAAATTGAGAAGATTTAATCATAAAGGAGTCAAAGGGTA